ACCAGGGGTGTCCAAACTCGGTCCTGGAGGGCCGGTGTCCTGCAGAGTTTAGCTCCAACTTGCCTCAACACACCTTACTGGAAGTTTCTAGTAAGAGCTTGATTAGCTGGTTCAGGTGCGTTTAATTAGGGTTGGAGCTAAACTCTGCAGGACACGGGCCCTCCAGGACCGAGTTTGGACAGCCCTGGTGTAATGTATTGTAATTTTTTGTGACTGTAACTGTAAGACCCAACCCAAAAGTCTTACCATTTCCAGCAAATCAAAACCACTCATCCTGCACTTACATTTATCTGGCCTGTTCTTCATGAACCACACAAACACATGATTAATCTTCAGTTTCTCCTCGGCAAACTCCAAAACAGCAGTGAGCCTTCAGGGGTAAAGAGAATAGAGAAAACTTACTTACTAATTCCCTTTTAAGGAAAGTCAGTTCAATCTGATGCCATATTTGCAATGCCTGCTGGCTATTTTGGACATGCAAGACCAACTCCTATCTTGAATGGGGAAATACTGAGATCTCAAAAAGTACATTTCAAAAACATATTTCAAATCAGTAATGAAATCTGACAAACTGTCCCATAAATGTTGTTTCTTATGCTCAAATAGCATTAAAAATGTGTATATTTCAGGACTGTTTTTATGAGAACTGGAGCTTCTAACAGAAGCTGTGGTGATGCAATTGGTGACTAGCTTTTATTTTAGACTTTTATTTAGAAAGCAGAACTTGCTACGCCATATTGAGCATTGCACTTTCTCCCAATCATAGTAATATGAGTGAACCGTGTTGGTACAACTGTTGATACTTCCACCTGCATCTTCAAATGTGTTTGGCTGTGAAGAAGTTGCCCCTTTTGGGATACAGTGAGAGTGCAGGAAGCAGTTACGCAAGACCTTTTAGGCCAGGATTAGAAAGTTCTGAAACATTTATAACCTCTATTAATGTGACAGCAGTGGGGCTTAGTGATCCATTCACAGTGTCTTACTGCTAAAATAGGACTTTGGTCAAACTTTATATGAGGTGCTCCTCTTGGCAGCATAACGCAGGGTTATTATAGCTAACTAAAACTATTAAAACATTTTTTTGTAAATAAAACTCAAATAATATAGAATATAAATATTAGATGAAAACCTAAACAAAATGTTGGCTTAAAATCTAAAAATGAACAAAACTGAAAAAAAAAACCCAAATAAAAATAAATTAAACCTAAATAGTAATATAAAAAATAAATATAAAAATGTAAAAATAAAAGCTAGCTCAAAATATGAATAAAAATCATAAACACCATAATAGTATATACAGGCATATACTTGCATAACAGCAGTGTATTGTTTCAGTAAATGTACCAGACGGGATATTAAATGTTACATCAGTCCATTTATGGCTTACCCTTCTTTGGTGCCTTTGAGAAGTTCTCCATTTGGTAAACCAACAAAGAGACTACGGCCAGAGAGCACAGTCTGCATAATCCATGACAACTGCTCATTTAGCTGATACTGAAAGAGCAGAATGGATGATTCGCTGTCCAGTGAGGTCACCTGCTGTTTCACAGTTAACTTCCCATCCTGCATGAAAGGATGACACAAAAACTCAATTAGCAAATTACTTTACATTCATCTGTGCTTTCCCATCCAGCCCAATAAAATCATTACAGTTAAAAAAAAGTCACATTCACTTCATAAACCTGGACAGAAGTAGCTGCTTATAGTTTGAACCACTGAAGTATTACATTTATTTGTGCTAAATGGACTGTCTCAGTTAAGATCATATTTTTATATGTGGCTTTAGCAAATAAGCATCTACAATGAGAGGTGATGACAGCCTCACCTTATAAAGGAGCACATCTTGAGTCAGATCCCTGCTTGTGCTTTGCCCATCTGTGTTCATCCTCTGTAGATGAGGGGCTTCAGGAGCACCACTGAGGCCCTGGAGCCTGCTGCCTGACCCAGCGGAACACACAAGCTGAATCCAGAAGTACAGCTCTGCACAGACACAAGTAGAAATGTGAACTTTGAGATTATGGTCCAATGAAATTCAAGTTGAACCAACAAGGCACAAAATATGGCCAGTGTGACACAAACTCTCATTTGGCTGCATATGGCATATATTTGATTGCATATGGTCTTCATGAATGGTATTATACAGAAACATTAAGTGCATAATTACAATAATTTTTAAATGATATACATTTACATATACATCAGGTTAGTTCCACTCACAATCATTTGCATTCTAGTGCCTTAACTGTATCTTTTTTTTTTTTTTACAGAGCTAAATTATATTTTATATTATAACTCTGTCCCCTTACCCTGAACTTATCCTTCACATAAAGATGTGCATTTTAGATTTTTTTTTACCTTACACATTTGATTCTCAAAATGTAGACAACCTGAACCCCACACCCAATCTAAATAATTATTACAATTATTTGTCATTGATGAAAATAGTGTCATGATTAATATGCATTTACAGTATATAAAATACGGCCTATTAAATTTCAATTATTATTATTATTGTTATCGTTGTTGTTTTTTTATTTATTGGACTCGCTGCTAGCAAAAACATACAGTGGTAAAGTTAGTTTGACGTTTGACATTCATTAGACATTCGGTTTTTGTGCCAATTAAACTCTTTGCGGCTGTTATGTTTTGAGCCTAACTCAAGACAGACATAAATATATGCCCTTTACGTTGCACAAGGCTTAATTTCTAGGGGGGAAAAAGGTCAAAAATTAACTATTTAAATTAATTAAACAATTTAACTACGTGACATTATAATATAAAACCAATACTAAAATGTTCGGAAAAACATCCCTGTTATCGCACAAAGCTCCGTTTTTGGAATTACCATTTTATGTGTTTTATAATAATTTTCCAACTTTTAATGCATGCAATAATATAATTCCATTAAACAACAACACCATTTGATCTAAAGATATCAAACCAACTGTAAAATATTCAGAATATTATTATGCCTTTGTTTTTATTAATCCATATTTTTCATGTTTTATATACTGTACCCACTTAAAGATAAAGGTATCAAACCAACTGTAAAAATCTCTAAATATTATTCCCTATAATGCACAACTGTAAAATATTCAGAATATTATTCCCTATAATGCACAAGGCTTGTTTTTTCTGATTATGTCTTTATTGTTTTTATATATAGTACTGAAACCATATTTTTCATGTTTTATATACTGTACCCACTTAAATTAATTAAAAGTTGACACCGTTTTATGATAAAGGTATCAAAACAACTGTAAATTATTCAGAATATTATTCCCTATAATGCACAAGGCTTGGTTTTTCAGATTATGCCAATATTGTATTTATA